GATTCGAAGAAGAAAAGCTTTGTACGCTTTCTGTAGCCACTTGGTGTATACAGTGTCTAATACTTTGACCTCTAGCTCACACCCGCAACCTCAAATAACGATGAACCGATAGCAACCTACCACCAACCAACGTATCCCTTCCACAATCCTGTCGGCACCTTATCGATAACTTCGTCAGGCCGTGTCAGTGAGATGGCGGATGAGATCCTCGCGACATTTATTTGGGTGGAACATCGGCGTCGGTTTACGGTATCGAAAAGAATTGCTAACACCATTGCAACGGGTATGACTGGCACTGGGAGTTGGCAGTCGGTCGGGAAAGTCTGACTGAGCAGAGCGCGTATACGTGCCTTGGGCCTGGGATAATGAGAAATTGATTGGACAGGATTACTCGTCATGTTTTCTACGAATTTATTATTTTTCATTGCGTTGATTATCAATACCCTTCGTCCGTAAAAATTCTTTCTTCTCAGCGAACGGGAGATCTACCTTGCTATGGCGTCACTATGTGTAGGTCAAGGTCCAGGCGTCAATACTCAAAGCTCACGCATTCCACTTGATATACTACAGCCAATATAAACTATCATTGCCGCCTCCGTCATTCTCTCACGTTCCCGAGTGCCAAACTACTGATATACATAAGGTTCTGTCCCGAAGTAGTCTGTCAGATCATTCGATGCATCAAACCATGACCCGAGCCCCATAGGGCTGCGGGAACCGACCCAGTCCAGCAGATTGACGATACCCGCTCACATATATCCATATAAACATCACCCAATCTTCAGGGCTTCGCACACACAACCCCCACGTTTCGAGACCGTTCAACCATTGTGGATTGAGGATGACGTCCACCCTTGACTATATACTTGTCTACTCTTTCCCTGAAGACTCGTCCGTCATAAGCACTCTTACTCTTGCTGGGAAAGACTTGAGATCGACACCCGAATTCGAGATCACGGCGCCGGCGAGCAAGACGAGTCCAGTTGTTGTGAAGAAGCACGGTTCGGAGATTGGAAGCTTTGATAGGAAAGCGAAGGCAGAGTGTCGCGTGGATGGGAAGGTCATCGAGAGGGTGAAAGGGTACGTCCGAGGTTTCGATTTTCCAGGCATGCAAGTTTAATCATTCCGGGTGTTCAAGTGTTTCGACTTTCGTATTCTCAGATGGGAAGAAGTATACTTGGGGGGCTAATAAGGGGAAGCAGACGATAGAGGTATGTATCACTACTCCTATCCACAGGCTCCAGTCTTTCATACCCTCCTCCAAATTTTCAGCTACTTGATGAATCTCGCGCAGTGGTCGCCACGTTCGCATCCAAAACACCGGATCCCGTAGGGAAGAACCCCGAGTCTACACCACCGGCCTTGCGTATCTCATTGCCATCGCCAAGCTCGAGTATCGTAAATGAGATTGTAACCACTTTGTTCTACGTTCGCGAACACGGGGCTAAAGGCACATCGAGCTCTACTAACAAGGTTGTTGATTGCATGTGTGAGTGTGGACTTCTCTCTTTGATTCTTCGGTGGCTCATAATACCATCCAGTGAACGCGCTGGCGAGCGTGTTCATATGTGCTACTTGAGCATTGAGAGGGTTGTAAGCTATGCCTGTGGTGTACTTTTGTTATGCGATGTGTATACTTTATCAATTTAGTGATATTGGGGGTTGGGTCTGGAGCATCAAAGTCTGAAGGATGACCTCCGAAGATGTAAAGTATAACTGACGAGTGATCCGTTGAGCCGCCAGTGACTAGGTGGTCTATTGACTCCCCACAATCACTCTAGGTCGCTGGGCACATTGTGTGGTCATCACGATGAATAAATCCGAATTTCGAGGAAGACTCTCGGTATGAGACGAATGTGTAACTCAGAAGTTGATCACAATTGTCATACTGAACACAGGCTACGCCCCAGAATGTACTTAGTTTACTAATTGGGTTTCTGGGGTATAGGTCAATTTCCGATCACCCGAGGATCCGCCAGCTCTAGCCGTTTTACCAGAGTTGGCCGTCAATCAGGAGAGTGTACCTCGACGGCGTATATGGCTAGGTCTTGATAAAAAGGTATTGATTGGGCGCACTATGAAGTAATGTTCAATTTGATTTCGCCGTTTCAGATACCCTTCTGGTCGGTCTATTTTTGTGATTTCTGAATTGACGGTGGAGCCAGATACCGACCATACACCCCTTCTAAGTGTATGAGGAAGATGGGACAGACGGGACCGCTTTTCAGAGTACCAGGACTCGCACGGTCTACCTCAAGATTGCAGTAACATGCACACTCTGTCCGCAACCTCCGTTATTCTCTCACGTTCCCGAGACCAAAGATGCCGGGAGCAAAGGTGCTCAAAGTTCTCTCCCGCGCACGTTCAACGATGCTCCTCATCAGGCCGTGGGCGCTGATCAAGGTGAGTGGCGGTGTGGGCCGCAAATCGAGCTAGAGGAACAAGTAGATACATTTAAATACCAACCGATCGACCCCGATTCCCTCAGGTTTGAACGTTTGAGTCACCATGTCGTCCACTCTCGGTTACGTCCTCGCCTACTCATTTTCTGAAGACTCGAGTCTCATAACCACTATAACCCTCGCTGGAAACTCGACATCGACTCCTGATTTTGAAGTCACGACGCCCGCACGTGGGGACAACCCGACTATCGTTAGGAAACATGGCGTAGAGGTTGGGAGTTTTGATGGGAAAGCAAAGGAAGGGTGCTCGGTAAATGGGAGGGTCGTTGAGAGGGCGAAAGGGTGCGTAGAACTTGAAGATCATTTTAATTTCAGAGCCTAAATGTCCGTAGTGGTACGTCGTTTGTGTTATTGGATGGGAAGAAGTATACTTGGAGGATTCATCAGTGGAGGAAGAAGATCGACGTGAGTACTGTTTCCTATCAGCTTCTTTGGAGGGTGTGACTCACTTGACATCTTCCACTTTACGGCTTCTAGCTGACAGCGGACGAAACTCGTACCGTGATTGCGACTTTCTCATCTAGTGCTCCAAAAGCAAAAGCGAAGAAGCCTGAGGATACCCCACCGGCGTTGCATATCTCACCGCCCACAGGGTCCGAGTCCGGGATGATTGACGAAATCATCACGACCTTGTTCTACGTTCGTCAACATGGTGCTAGAGGAGTATCAAGCTCTCCCGGAGCCTTCGATCTCATGAGTGAGTCGCACTAATTACCTTCCTGGTCACAATTCAGAAATTGAGCGTTGACCTATATTAGTAAAAATGGTCGTGGGAGTGTTGAATGTGCTGAGTTGCTGGACTTGAGGGTGTACCGGCTGTACTGTGCTAGTTATCTCACGGGCACTGATGATTATATACCATTCTCAAGACTGACATTCATCACGGAATCTCTGATTCACCACCCAGACCAGAGGCTTGCGAGAAGCTGAAGAGAGTCGGGCACATGGTGTAGTTGGTTATCACATCCGCTTAGCATTTGGTCTCTGCGGAATGCTTCTGCGGGGGGTGCTGGGTTCAATTCCCAGTGTGTCCAATATCAGTATGCGACAGTTGTTTTTCCCGTTCCGACGACTGGTAGCCTCGTATCATCCGAGTTTCCGCGGGGCTGTCAAACGCCAATCAAGGAACAAACAAATGACGCTTTGTCCTTTTCAACCACGATGTCAACGTTTGCTGTGTTTCAATTTTCACGCAAACGCACAAAGACAAGGGTTCTCAAGGACATCCCATACTCACTACAGCTATCGATCTTTCAGGCAACCCTCGGATGTACTCTTGGGTCAACAGCTCTCCATCTTATTGGCTCTCATGAGTTGATCATGAACGGGACCTCGGTCATCTTCGCCTTCCCAATCGCGTTTTATAGGCATTCTTCACCCAGGATAATTGACGATTGTCGATCAGTTGCAAAGGGATAGCGTCTCAGTCCTAATGCGAGCATATTGAGGAATATGCTGGACTGGGATGCGGGGGAAGAAGGTACGTCTGTCTGGACTCCTAGGTTCATTTTTTGCGCAAGCTGACTATCTGCTCATCCTGATCAGTAGGGGGTGTCCTGTCAATTCCACCGAGCGGGGTCTCTTTGACCGGCATGGATGGTGAAGGTGTGGATAGGTTTGCTATGGGTTAGCTGGTCAAAAACGGGTTGGAAGGTGTGTTATCATGCCTGTCGAGGCCTCCCTCGTCAATCTCACATGGTGGTTGTCTTCCGCTTTCACTGGCATTCCTCGTCAGGAAAACACAACGTAGACTTGCGAATCGGCCTCCACGAACCCCACCAGACTCACCAGTTCGTCGCCACTGGTCAGAAAAGGTATCCATTGGGATTATGCCACACCTGCACCTGTCCAGACCGTCGCTCGCTATGATTCGCTTGCGAACATCGTGCTATGAGTTTCTGGCTGGGTCATATCCGAGGATATCCAGATGAGATGCATATATTGAGGCTTGGGCTTCGCTCGTATGTAGGTTTGTATATGGACACATGAGGTACGTTCAGTTTATCTTTCTCGGTATCGAACCCAAGGCTGAGACGCCCACTAGATGTTGGACTCCACGACGGAACACGACAATAGGTTCTCCTTTCCTTCGAAGTTCTTGGCCGTTCGGCATTGCGAACCTCTTAGCCCTCATCTTTTCCCGGAGCACACACAAGACACGAGAGCATACGTACTCGGTTCTTCCCACTGGTTTGTACTCACTTAGCAAACTCACGCCGCAGTGTACTTTTGGCAGCGACAGATCACTTATGGGCGTCCTCCCTTCACCAGCACTTGAGCAGCATTCGCCAGAAGTAGGAGTGCCTACTTTCTAGGGACTGTCATCTGGCATTGTGTCAGAGACACTCGTACCCATTCGGCCTCGTTATGATCGGATAGAACTGAGGGGTACCCTAAAATACTACTTTTCTCTTCCTGTCCTAGTTTCTATTCTGCGTTATAGCATCATCTAAGGTAGACGACATACAAACGCGGCCAACCCGACACAGCCACTCCGTATTTAGGCAAATTCTAGACAAAATTCATGTATCATATTTCAGACGTACCGTATGAGAAATCGGGCTCGAACAAGTTCTGGGGATTGTTTGTCCGATCACGAATATCCAAAAATCTTGAAGAGCGGTTGAGGTTTCGACACGTAGTGGCAGAAATACTGCTCTGCTCTTGTGCATGCGCGGACTTCCCACGGATTATGAATCAATTATTATCAAGTGCAAGCTTTGCTACGTCTTTCTGCCACTACATGTCGAAACCTCAACCGCTCTTCAAGATTTTTGGATATTCGTGATCGGACAAACAATCCCCAGAACTTGTTCGAGCCCGATTTCTCATACGGTACGTCTGAAATATGATACATGAATTTTGTCTAGAATTTGCCTAAATACGGAGTGGCTGTGTCGGGTTGGCCGCGTTTGTATGTCGTCTACCTTATAGGATACCAGAAGAGAAACTTCGTTCTGATTATCGATATGCTCGTATGCCGCTTCCTTGCTTGTATGTGCGCTCATATCGGTAACTCTCAACCGCTACTATCTGCAGCTTAGACGTCGTCGAGGGTGCATCTCCAATTCGTAGACGATTGCATTGGCGTGGGCAGAGAGTTTCCAAAGAAAATGTAATAGGGGACGGTCTCGTCATTCGTGCATCGGGGCACATGGTGTAGTTGGTTATCACATCCGCTTAGCATTTCACCCACATACTGACATTGCTTCTGCGGGGGGTGCTGGGTTCAATTCCCAGTGTGTCCACTACTATGATCACGGATAGTCTTTTTATATACCCTTAATGCGAGAAGTCGTCATCGTATGCTCACAGACGGCGTCGGATATCTGTCGCTTCCGCCGCACACATCTCTTCAACACTGCCCGCCCTTCACATCAATATCGGCCAATGCAGCAATTTGCGAATCGTCGAATAAACGCACTCGATCCTCTGAGATCCCCTCGAACGCAGCCGCGAACCGCTCTGGGGAGTTGTCGCCACCTTCGACGAGACGGATCCAGATGCATCGGATGAAGGAGGGACCGTAGGTCTTGAATCTATCGTGAATGGTGAGTATTAGTATTCATTAACGGACTTCATAAAGATGTCCCTGGACGCACGCTCTCGCATAAACCTCTGGATCCCCTTGCGTTGAGTCCCCGACAGTCAAGAAACTCTTCCTCGGGTACATCTTCTGCACACGAGCGATTTGGACCGTCTTATATTCGACTTTTTGTGCCGTATCCGAATCGAGGATTGTCAAGAGCTCGCTAATTTCGGAGAGTGTGATGTTTTGAAGGAAAAGGGGGCCGTGGGTTGATGGGTCGAAGGTGTTTTGCAGAAAGGTACGGAGATAGGGGTAAAGTTGATAGGGCGAGGCAGAGATGTATATGAATTGGGGCTTGGAGGAGAAGGGAAAGGGAGAAGAGAGGGAGGATGCGAGTGATTTGTAGACGTCAGGCATTCCGGGGACGGGTGTGGCGTCGTCGAAGAGTGTGGAGGTTATGAATTTGACTTTGTCGGTTCCTTCGGAGATCTTGATCGTGTCGTCGATGTCTGGCGTAAGGTTAGATACGGAGATTGGAATTCGGACAGACGGTAGTGCCAACAAGCATCTACTCACCAGATATGACGCCAAATCCCTCAGAACCCGAGGTGAAAACCGTAGCCTGAGCAGTCAACCCGCTCTCGTCTCCTTTGATAGCGCCATTCGCTGTCAAACTCAACTCGTCATTACCATATCCCACTCCGTGGCCCCATCCGCACCCTTCGACCTCAACAACCCCGCTTGAAATCCCCAAATCCACTTCCGAGGCTGGGGGAAGCGTACCTTCCTGGTCACAACCATCTACAGAAACCGTAACTTCCTTTCGAGCAACTCCGGACGCAGCAAAAAGTTGCATACGATCCAAGGCTCTGGACATCAAGTCTTCTGGGATAGGACCAGCGCCCAGTTGGTCGAGAGTTACACGTAGGAAGGTTTCAAGGGGCTCGAGGTTGATTTGTTTGTTGTAGACAAAGGCTTGAGCGTCGATGGTTAAGGATCTTTTGAGGCCGAGGGGTCCGCTGTGAGAGGACGAGGCGGGAGAATCGAATAGGATGATGTCTGTATCACCGGTACCTGAGAATGAGCCATCTCCTCCTGTTGGCTCGGTGACGGGTATTGCGCGAATGAGTGTGCTGAGGGAGGAAAGGAGTATAGATAACGCGGTAAAAGAATGTCTCATGATTAGAAATGAGGGGAACAGTATGGTATCCGATGACGAGCGGGGAGCGCTCTACCTTTGAGGTCAGAGAGAAGTCAAAGAGCAACGAATTGCTGGGTTGGGGTAGTGCTCAATTTATGTCGGTAAAATTAATGTCGCTTTGAACACATCTCTGTAAGCTGAGTTCTCGGATCGAAGCCGAACGGCGAATGCATTCAAATTTAGACGCTGAGCTTAGTGACTGGTAATGATCAAACTTCTGCCAACAGCGGGATTCTGTGATATATATTCATTTGAAAGGGTCGTTCGGCCAAGTATCCCAACTCAGTGTTTGACAATATTTTCGAGCCAAAGTTCATATGGAATGGACCATTCCCGTCGTCGTTTGGGGTATCAAAGGATTTGAACACTTCTTAAGGTCGCGAAAAAAGCTCGGTCTGATCGAGACAAACCATTTAGCTTGTTTTTTAAAGTCGGCAAAACGGATTCCAACAGAGGTGCGATAAACCGCTACCATAACCCATTTCATATTGAACTCAGGATCCTGATACCCCTGCATCCTCCAAAATGCTCACGGCAGACCAAGCCCTGATGACCGGTGGCCGTGATAAGTCTCGAGCAAGTAATAAAATTGAAAATTCGGACATTCACTCGTGTCGGTGATTCTGTATAAGTCCCCATGACCTCCGGTTATACCATATTCCCTGGTAGTATATCGGTTAGTACACGCGCCTGTCATGTAGTTGAACGACCAATCTGTCGACGCGCGAAAGCTGGGTTCGACTCCCAGCCAGGGAGCTATATTGGGATATCCGTAACTTTTATGGTAATCGAAAAGAATAGGCAATCTCCGAGTTCCTGATCTTCCGAGACTATGCTCAACAAAGCAACAAAGAAAAGGCTCACTGAGTTTTGCCACTCTAGGTGCACCAGTAGGTGTGGAGGGTGGGTATATGTATTATGTATATTCCCGAGCTCTTGAGGATACGGGGTTTAATCGAGAATTTAGGACAGAACTCTGGGCAAAGGCACCCTGAGGGACAAAAATATGAGTTGAGACCGCGTGAACTGACCCAGTAATTACGAGGTGCAGGTCAAAGGCGTCTATGTTGGTATATCGCTTGGTGCACGCGCCTGCCAATTGCATTCTGTTATCAGCGCAAAAGCTGGGTAAACTCTCAGCCATGAAGGCCATGTATTGTGCCGGGTGTAAGTTGTCCCACCCTGACTTGGGTAGCTTGAGATGATTGACCGATCGATCGTCTCATTCCGCCTCACTCTCCGCCGTATAGATGATACTGTATCGCGCGAATATCGTGGATCTTCAGGTTTTCGATGGAATTCTGTGGCCAGACCGTGACGGAATTGAGTTTTGGGGCTATCCCATCCACAAGTGTGGCACACTCACGTTGTCGGACACCTTGTTTACAGGGCTATTGTTCGGCGTCATCATTGTGAGTCCTTTGATGACAGCAGCGAGGTACAGTAGGACCCCTGAAAATTGGTGGGAGGGTCGGTTCGGAATCCACCTATAGGTGACCCAATCTGGCAGGAAGGTTGGTTCATTGCTCACTCAGAACAAGAGGTGTGCCCGATCTGGATCACAGGCCGAGCTGGCATGTGGCGGACACATCACCCCAAATCCGGTAAACCGCTGATGGGCGGTGTATCTGGGACGCGACTTCTCCTACCACCTCGTTCGGACGTTCAGCACCATTCTCCTTTTCATATATCTCTGTCTTTTTGTCACTGTCGCAAACTCAAAATCTCTGTCAAGATACGCAATGACTCTTGAATGATCTCCCAATATCACCATTTTTCCCTACTATGCGAGCATTTGCGTCAGAAATATAAACTTTTCTTCCTCTTGATAGGCTTTACCTGCAACCGCACTGGTGGCTAAGCGCTGAGGCGCTAAGGTGGCCACACTTGAGAGTCAAGCTACATCCAAAGTGAATTTTGGCCAGTTCTCGTCTGTTTTTCGTGATTTTGGTGTCTCAATATAGGTTTTGAAGCACGGGCAAAACATTCCCGGGACTTGCAACAGTGAAATCTCTACTGTTTGCTAGCATCATTTTTTCTATTCAGTAGGTAGTATTGATCCGCGACCCCCCCCCCCCCCCCTACGTTATACGTCCAAGATTCCAATCGGCCACACCTCTTGACTCAGAATCCACCTATCGCTTCACATTATGTCAGCATCCTTGGTTCTATTGTCCACCTATGGAGGTTCATTTGGGGAAAGGTCAGTTCCAAGTCCACCTACCGCCACCTGCAGGCTGCCACTCCAGGCGAGTCCGGCCACTTCGGATCTGTCCTCATTGTTGACTTTCTCTCACTATTGTTAACGCAACGACCCGTTCTGATGCATTTTTTTTTGGGATAACAATGATATTCAAAGACTCCTGTATATTATGTTGTGAAAATTCAAGAGTCTGTGTGCTTTTCCTTTCCTCCGCTCGCATCTACAGCCCCGCACTCATGAGCGAAGAGCGGCTTTCTACCTTGATTGAACATGGAAAAGTCTACAAGGACCCCCCGATTGTTGTTGCTCGCGAACTCTATAGGAGGATATACCATTTGAGTACTATCTACGTATCTAATAATTTTTTACAAATTTTTCCGATTTTTTGGAGGTTGGTTCCAAAATCCACCTATCGAGAGCTCAAGTCCGAAGGTTGGTGATTGTTTCCACCTATTGGTTACCATAAAAGGAAATTCAGCTGTCCAACTATAAACAATGAAAATCAATCTATTTCGGAACCCACCTACTCACCCATTTTCAGGGGTCCTGGTACAGTGTTATAGAAACGAAGTGGTTGTGGGTTCGCAGGTGTGGCACTAGGCTCTGACTCGACGG